TTTTATAAAGCAAAAAAAAAGTCGACGTAAAGTACCAAAAATGTCACACAAAGAGTACAAAATATTCAAAAATGATCTGGTTGTCATACTCTTTTGTTGGTGACATGCACACCTTTGCGTCGGGTTTTGGCATGCACTACTAGGGGTTCAAACCTCACACAATTGGGAAAAGAAGTCGTGGCGAATTTTCTTCTAAAATAGTTGTTAGAGGGTTGAGCTGCTGCTGAGAGGTGATGGTGCAGGAAGGAAGGGGGGTATTGGGTTTGTGCGAAGCGTGTCGATGTCTCTATCGACGGCCGTCACGGCTCAAGAACCCCCTCCCCATCTCTCCAATCGCCCGAACTAGCCCGTTCCGAATCACCCTACCCGCACCTGCCCCCTCTGTACCAGCTCGACGTAGCAGACGCTTCTTCTGACATGCAAAGGCCTAAGCTGCAGCCAAATCACAGCTAAGTTTGTGAGCCATGTCGTTCGAAAAGGGTTGTTCTGCCACATTAAAACATTAGTCATGACCGTGCACATTACTGTAAACAGTATCTGAAAGCACGTTTACCTGCGTGGATTCGTGGGGAGGCCTCCGCTTGTTCCCTTCACATCTGAGACGTTTATTAAGCTGTCTTGTAATTTGACTTGTAAGTTGGTGGAGTTCGTCATTGGGAAGAACCACCTCCAGTGACATGTTGTTTATCTCACACTGAGGGACGGGAACGATAAGGTAGGGGACTTTGCTGCTGCTGAGGGGCTGTACGTACGGCCTCGACGCCAGCACTGCAAGCTTGTCTCAAGCAGAAGCACTTTACGGATTAGCGGCTTGGAGTCATATGGGGTGACTACCACGCCATACCCACCCCACCAACCCTTTCCCTTAAACCTCTCTACTACCACCACCGCTATCACCAGGACAACGCTACTGTGATTACCAGTAGACTCGACGACAAGAGGGACGACGCTGAAAATTTTATGCTGCGTACTTCCCAACTATATAGGCGGTGAAAGATACTTAATTTTGGGAAGGGCTTAGCAGTAAATGCACCTCATTGAGGGGGCACAGGCAGACGATAAATGTTTTCTCTTTCTCCACAGTGAGCCGTCTACGTAGATGGTCCATTAGTTAAGCAAAACTGCTGAATGAGCAGTTACTACTACACGAAAAAAAATTACTTTGTTGTGAGGATCAGTTCTGTTTGGGAGGCTAATTTTGATAGCTGGAATCGAGAATCCGATACTCACAAGCAGAAGTTGGTTGTCACGACCGGACACTTGTACGAATAGCACCAAGCTGGAGTTTGTTCTATTCGTACAAGTGTTCAGTCGTGGCAACCAGCTCCTAGTTGTGGGTATCGGATTCTTGATTCCTGCTATCGAATTTAGCCTAACAAACATAATTGATCCTCACAACGAAGTCATTTTTTTCCGTGTAGGGCTTCTTTGGAAACGGTTACATCTATGCCTCTAAACTTCTAGAATCACACTGGTAAAACAAGTAACAAGTGTTTAATTTTGCACGTCAATTGTTGTTTAAGTTCAAGTGTGCATTTTCTCGATATATTGTGATGTCTAGCTCGGTTAAATGTCAACTGGTGTTTAAACTTTTCACGCTTCCAGAAAGTATAGCAACTGCACACCATGTGGTTTCTATTGATAGCATGGAACTGTGTGTGTTCAAGCATGCAGAATTTAAACTTTTACAAAACGTTTAAAATGTGCACACCACGCAGCTTGAGTTAAACATAATGTAATGTTTAAAATAATTACATGTGCATGACAAATTTGCATTTAAATTTGAAACAAGTGATTGTGTGTGATATTTTCTACCTGAAATGTTGTTCTTACTCCTCAGTCAGTTTCGAACTCGAATAAAAACTTCAAAGTTACCCCTTATCACCGTGAAACCGGGCTTTTAGTAAATTACCATAAGTTACCAATTTTACTGGCAACTCCCCCGGTGACATTACCAGCCGTCGAATACAGCAGCACGAGGGGAGCGAGAGAAAAGTACGGTGGTAGTGTGGATGCGGGCTGCAATAGGAGAGGGTTGCAATTAGTGAGCACGACCCATTTCACAGCATTTTGCTGCACAACGTCGCCACCAGTGCTGCCGACATAAACACTGCGAATAATATCTAAAGACACAAAAACCTCGAGCAGCCCAATAACTGCAAAGTCCTTCACATTTTGCATCCCTTTCTTTCCCTTAATGTGCGCAAGGGGTAGGCTGGATCGCGTGGCGTGGAGAAGGCACGGCAGTCGACGCAGCTTCGGACCGGAAAAATTAGAATTTAGAGCACCCTAAAAGGGTTAAATAGTGCTTTCTCGAAAAAAAAAAAATATAGAGAGTAGTCTTTATTTTTTTAGGTAAGAGTGGGGCACCTACCTTGTGCCCCATTTTCCCCTACACCATTTAGTTGATAAAGCTAAATCAGTAAGCCTATTTTTAACTAGGTCGCACCAATCAAATTAAGTCTGCTGGACTAAATTATTTTATCGCAACAGATAAATTTTGTCTCCAGAGCTAAAATTTCGTCGGTTTTGAATTTGGTTCTCTAGACTAAACGTATGGCACAGAGGGCCATGGGTGCGAACAACCTGTTCTATGTTTTGTCACCTGTCACTTATGATGCCTTCCTCCCCCTCTTTGAAAAAAGTGCTGAAACAATCTAAACTACAGGAGTTTGTGTTTTCCGTATGTTGTTGACGAGACCATTTCACCTCTTTTCTGTACTAACACTTTTTACCGGCGATTTTCGGGTATTTCCCGAAATTTAAAGACCCTAGGAGCACAGAACTGTCGTACGATTGTCGGACAACAGTAGAAAAAATACGAAATGAGAAAAATGATTCTATTGCTGTACTATATTTTTCCCTCGGAACGAAAATCTTTATCGGCTTGATATCAGAATGGAAGCAAAACACCACTTTTGTAGATTTGACCAGGAATCGATACAAATACAAAAAAAAATATTAGATGTTTTAAATTTGATACACCAGCGACAATCGTCTGACTCTGGAAAATCC